GATAAGGCAAAATACTGCACATGAATTAAGACAGAAAAACTGAGGTCTTTTATCAACTCTCTGTCTCACATGAGATTGACAGATTTAAAAGAATATACGGTTCAATTTTCTTTACTGTTTTAACTAGTAAATGCTCGGAAATTTAGAATATAACTTTGAATATTTTGGATATATTCGTAAAAGATAAGTTATCTTGTAGGTTATTATAAACTTAGTTCAGTCACCCTTGTAGATTACTTGTCGGTGCAAACTGGTTTTAATATAAACCAATTATACATATAATTAAATTACAAAAGTGGTTCAAACAATAAATTAATATATAGGTCTCTAATTTTAGAATCTAACGAGTTAACAACGTTTAAATAAATCTAGATTAAAATAATTAGTTGTGATTTACACTAGTTTTGTTGTTAATGTTGTTATCGTGAGAAAACGCTGGCTATCGACTTTCCTTTGCAAAAGAAAACCAGGAAATAAAAGAATGTAGTCTGAAATATTTGGGTAGAACATGAAAAAGTTTTTAACAATATATATACAGGGAATCACTTTCTCTCGTATGGATAATTGAACATGAATCTTTGTTGGGAAAATTTCAGTTGCCAAATTAAATATACAATATTTGTTGTAATAATTGTAGCGATATATAGATTTAAATCTTCATCTAGCATAGAAGAGTTAAAATCAAAACACAAAACTTTAGCACAAATAGAAACCACTGCAATCTCCAGTGAGATGACATTCAAGGGCATGATTTTTTTATCATCATTTATATCTTAGTCAAGACGCAGGTTAATAATTACAAGCTTTGAATTAAATATTAAGTTTTTTCTTATAAGACTGACTGATTAGATTAAAGTTTAAACGATGAAATTTTTATTTTTATTTTATAAAAGTATTATTTTTTTAGGCACATTAACATGCTCTAATTCCATCCCTAAAACGTAAATGTAATAAACATATAACTGAATTATCAGTCTGGGTATTGGCTATGTAAATCTCATTACCTGGTAACGCAAATGCTGCTGGATTTGTTTCGCTTTGACGCGATATATGCCTGCGGAAGCATTTATGTAATGGTCGAAAATACTTTCTAAATATTAAATAAGTATATATTCCTAACAACAAATATATATATATATATATATATATATATATATATATATATATATATATATATATATATATATATATGTCGTACCTAGTAGCCAGAACGCACTTCTCAGCCTACTATGCAAGGCCCGATTTGCCTAATAAGCCAAGTTTTCATGAATTAATTGTTTTTCGACTACCTAACCTACCTAACCTAACCTAACCTAACTTTTTCGGCTACCTAACCTAACCTAACTTATAAAGATAGGTTAGGTTAGGTTAGGTAGGGTTGGTTAGGTTCGGCCATATATCTACGTTAATTTTAACTCCAATAAAAACAAATTGACCTCATACATAATGAAATGGGTATCTCTATCATTTCATAAGAAAAAAATTGGAGAAAATATATTAATTCATGAAAACTTGGCTTATTAGGCAAATTGGGTCTTGCATAGTAGGCAGAGAAGTGCGTTCTGGCTACAAGGTACGACATATATATATATATATATATATATATATATATATATATATATATATATATATATAGTGGGATCCCACTATATATATATATATATATATATATATATATATATATATATATATATATATATATATATATATATATATATATATATATATAGTGGGATTTGTAAGGATCTGTTTTTGCAGTGTCGCCCCCACAGGATATGATGGGATACCTAATAAACTAACCTCCTTTATTGGAGACAGAACCTCACACCCTCAGACAGCAACGAAGAAGGGATTGTGGGGAATGTGAGGTAGGCTTAGGTATTGGAACAGAGGTGATGGCGTCTGAGATGTGCTGTTGTAGAGAAGGATATGTTGAGCAAGAGGAAAAGAGATAGATGCTGGTGTGATACTGGGGAATTTGTAGAGAGGATTTTTGTTAACAGTAGAGCGGACATCAGTGGGGCTATTTAGATTCAAGAATAGGTTTCATAATTGACGTGATTTCGCTGGAGGGTTTCAGACGTTGGTCTGAAACCGTAGGTATAAGTAGATAACAACCTCGTAGCTTCCAATAGGACTTCTGCAATTTAATTTATTCTTCTGTTCTGATGTGCTTGAAGACAAAGATCCAGGGCTCCGTCTTTGAGTACATAATCGCTTAAATAATTTTCTCCAAGTCTTTCTATTTGTATCATACATTCTCCTGTGCCGACACATTTATCAGCTACCTCACTACAAGTTCTTCAGGGAGTGGAATATCGTAGTTTGGGAGGACTTATCTTCGAGTTATGTGTCCCATGGCGTTCCTAACACAAACCCTCTCCATGGATCACAGTTTATTTTCGTCTACGTCAATGCTTTTACTTCAGTTTCCTTCCCAAAACACCTCACTCTTGCTTCCAAAAGATATTGAAATGTCACTACAGAGGAATCGAGCCTTCTCAACGGGATATCAGTGTGTATTCACCTAGTTGTATTCAACTAGTTGTGCTTGCGGGGGTTGAGCTCTGCTTTTTCGGCTCGCATCTTAACTGTCAATCAACTGTTACTAACTATTAACTAATTTTTTTATTTTTTTTCCCACACACACACACACCCCAGGAATCAGTTCCGTACCAGGTGTCTAACTCCCAGGTACCTATATACTGCTAGGAAACAGGGACATCAGGGTGAAAGAAACTTTGCCCATTTGTTTCTGCCTGCTACAGAAGTACAAATACTGCGCACTGTCCACTCAGCAACCACTTGTGTGTGTATGTGTGTGTGTGTGTGTGTGTGTGTGTGTGTGTGTGTGTGTGTGTGTGTGTGTGTGTGTGTGTGTGTGTGTGTGTATTTTCCTAGTTGTGCTTGCAGGAGTTGAGCTCTGGCTCTTTCGGCTGCCACTCAACTGTCATTGTTTGTTCATCTTAGTTTGTTTACACACACACACACACACACACACACACACACACACACACACACACACACACACACACACACACACACACACACACACACAAAAAAAAAAAAAAAAAAAAAAGTTCTTTCTAATATCTCTGTGGCTCATTTGGGGCACTCAGTTTCCACCTGTGTCCCCTAGTGGGACACAGGACACATATGTGTGTGTGTCTGTGTGTGTCTGTGTCTATGTTTGTGTACTCACCTAGTTGTACTCACATAGCTGTGCTTGCGGGGGTTGAGCTTTGGCTCTTTGGTCCCGCCTCTCAACCGTCAGTCAACTTAAGTACAGATTCCTGAGCCTACTGGGCTCTATCATATCTACATTTGAAACTGTGTATGGAGTCAGCCTCCACCACATTACTTCTTAATGCATTCCAGTTGTTAACTACTCTGACACTGAAAAAATTATTTCTAACGTCTCTGTGGCTCATTTGGGTACTAAGTTTCCACCTGTGTCCCCTTGTTCATGTATGTATGTGTGTGCGGGTGTGTCTTTATGCTCATGCTTGCGTACATGTACATGCATTAACTTTGTATTAAACAAATCCAACAGGAGCCTTTATGAGGGTTCGAACCTATGCCCTGGGTGTTCCCAGACGAGCTCTAGTCATCTGTACCAAGAATTTGGGGCAGTCTTATGAAACACTTATGAATTTTCATCTGTTTATTGATATATCACCTTAATGCGATTTTTCTGTGTATTTTTGTATTATTTACTATTTTAAGTTCATTCAGAAAGGGGCTCTCATTTACTAGGTTTTCCCTCTGATCGTTGATGAATCTAAAACAAATCACACTTATTTTCTACGCTAGTAAAATCATACTACTCTAGATGTCTATAACAACTACGAGAGCTAACGTTACTAGACTTTGGCCAATGTATAAATATGCATCAAAATTGATTCGTTGCATCAATTAGAAACTTGTTTGTATGGTCCCTAGATTCAATAGGAAAAAAAGGAAGCACTTAAAAATCAAACTGTTAGAATTCTTGAATAAGAATTTCAGTGACTTGGACAATCAATCCTCAGATGCGAATTCGAGTCATAAAGTATTTACCATTAACAGTGTTTACTCCATAACAACTGTACAATGTTTTCCTCTTACCTCTGCCCATTATAAAACATTTATATAACATTTCACAAAATTGCATTTACCCATATATCATATTTTCCACTGTGTTAAATTAAAAACTCTTGTACAACATTTCCCAATTATCGTGTCTGATTCATAATATTCTCCATTTCTGTATCCACTTCAATACGATTATGCTCCAATTTCCACTAAAATTTCCCACTTCATTCTAGCTCCTAATGGCAGTAATCACCCCAGAAAAAGCAGGAGCAAGCAGCCCCACCAACTTCTCTCGTAATTCCTCGGAAATTGCATTGCAATAATAATTATTGAAATTTGCATTAAATTTGCTGTGTTACCTGGCTGCTTGCCGAGCACAAAGTCACTCAGGAAAGTGGCTAAGTTAGTGTGATAGTGTAGTAGGGCCAGTGTGACTGGCCCTACAGATTATGGGCCCTAAGCTGTAGGGCCCCCTACAGGTTAGGGCCTTTTAGTAGGTTACTAGGGATTGTTAGACAGGCCATAGTAACCTGTCGAAGACAGGTTATTAGGCATTGATGACACGAATGGTCAAAGCCGGAAACTATAACAACAGAATAATCTGTGTTTCATGACGAATGATCTTGAAGCTTGGCACTTACCTCTAGTCACCAATGATAACTCCCTTACACTCCACTTCACTGACACTCTCTTATGGCTTTATTATAAATTTTCTTTGAACTTATCATGTTTGAGGTGTATAAACCGGACGTGATATTAACAGAACACAGGGGAGTAATTAATACAGGGGGTGTAAAAAATAATTACACGGTAGTTTCATTGATTATTGCATGTTAGCTTGATCGCGTGACGAGACACCCGAGGCGGAGTGGGAGGGCTCACTTGTGCTTGGCTTCTAGCACGTCTTGCATCGAATTTTATAAATGATGAACGCTACACACACCAGACTTGATAGTACTAGCACCACACCCCACACCGGACTTGACAGTACTAGCACCACACCCCACACCAGACTTGACAGTACTAGCACCACACCCCACACCGGACTTGACAGTACTAGCACCACACCCCACACCGGACTTGACAGTACTGGCACCACACCCCACACCGGACTTGACAGTACTGGCACAACACCCCACACCGGACTTGACAGTACTAGCACCACACCCCACACCAGACTTGACAGTACTGACACCACACCCCATACCAGACTTGACAGTACTAGCACCACACCCCACACCAGACTTGACAGTACTAGCACCACACCCCACACCAGACTTGACAGTACTAGCACCACACCCCACACCAGATTTGACAGTACTAGCACCACACCCCACACCAGACTTGACAGTGCTAGCACCACACCCCACACCGGACTTGACAGTACTAGCACCACACCCCACACCGGACTTGACAGTGCTAGCACCACACCCCACACCGGACTTGACAGTACTAGCACCACACCCCTCACCAGACTTGACAGTACTAGCACCACACCCCACACCGGACTTGACAGTACTAGCACCACACCCCTCACCAGACTTGACAGTACTATAGCACCACACCCCACACCAGACTTGACAGTACTAGCACCACACCCCCACACCAGACTTGACAGTACTGGCACCACACCCCACACCGGACTTGACAGTACTGGCACCACACCCCACACCGGACTTGACAGTACTAGCACCACACCCCACACCGGACTTGACAGTACTAGCACCACACCCCACACCGGACTTGACAGTACTAGCACCACACCCCTCACCAGACTTGACAGTACTATAGCACCACACCCCACACCAGACTTGACAGTACTAGCACCACACCCCCACACCAGACTTGACAGTACTGGCACCACACCCCACACCGGACTTGACAGTACTGGCACCACACCCCACACCAGACTTGACAGTACTAGCACCACACCCCACACCAGACTTGACAGTACTAGCACCACACCCCACACCGGACTTGACAGTACTAGCGCCACACCCCACACCGGACTTGACAGTACTAGCACCACACCCCATCACCAGACTTGACAGCACAACTATTGACATAACCCCTCACACCACCGCTGTCTCACCCTCTGGTACCAAACACACACAGCCTTTCACACCACCTTAAAAGTCCCATAACTTTGTGTTATTGATGCTGAGAATGCTCCTTCAACACGTCATACGGGTGATATGTAAGCGCTGTGTCGCCGGGACCAGTTGAGCTGTTTAGAAACATATAACTATCCACAAACATCGCCACCCCCCTCTCTTAACCAATTTTTGTCACTTCAACAGCAAAAACCAATTCCTTGTATAACAGTTTCAATAATTAGAAGACGTGGGGAACATACACATGACATTTCCAACACCCCCAAAAAATTACAAAATATTTTTTTTTTGGGGGGGAAAAAGTGTAATGTTTCTTAAAAGTGTCTTATGTTTCTAGAAATTGAATTCATTGGTAACAAATGTCAACGTTCTGTAATTTCATACAAAAATAGTAAGGAAAGAGAAATTACAGTCTTCCGGAATGGCATTTCAAGGAACCACTACAGAATTAATTGTATATTCAGCAAGGTCGATACCAAAGGCAAAATTCTGAGGCTGTTCGTCACGGGTCGCGCCAATGGGTCGAAGTTGCAGGCTGGAAAACTTGCTGGACGTTGTAAGTTTGCTGGACGTCGTAAGTTTGGTGGACGTTGTAAGTTTGGTGGACGTTGTAAGTTTGGTGGACGTTGTAAGTTTGGTGGACGTTGTAAGTTTGCTGGACGTTGTAAGTTTGCTGGACGTTGTAAGTTTGCTGGACGTTGTAAGTTTGTTGGACGTTGTAAGTTTGGTGGACGTTGTAAGTTTGGTGGCCGTTGTAAGTTTGCTGGACGTTGTAAGTTTGCTGGACGTTGTAAGTTTGCTGGACGTTGTAAGTTTGCTGGACGTTGTAAGTTTGCTGGACGTTGTAAGTTTGGTGGACGTCGTAAGTTTGCTGGACGTTGTAAGTTTGCTGGACGTCGTAAGTTTGGTGGACGTCGTAAGTTTGCTGGACGTTGTAAGTTTGCTGGACGTTGTAAGTTTGCTAGCCGGTGCATATTTACTGACTTCGAGGGCGCCGTTCTCCTAGTGGCTTCCGTTCCGTTATGGAACGTGTGAGTATACGGCGCCCTTAACTCCCGGTAAGCAGCAACATGTTCAGGAATAATGTATGTAAAACCTCAAAAAAAGGAGACTGGGGTGCCCAGTGTTTTCATTTTTTATTAATGACTATGGACACCAATAGATGGCGTTGGTTGCCAAGTTCTGATTGTTTCAGAGTCAATGACCCAGTTATTTTGCAGACGAGGAGTCACAATAACATGGCTGAAATATGTTATTTACATATTCTAACCTGGGTAAAATAATCCAGTTATTTTTACATTAATTGCCATGTTTGATACACTGTTCATAGAAAGCAAAAGGAAATCAACCACGAAACTTACAAAAGGAGTAACAAGGGTCTTAACAAATTATTTGCATCATTCAAGCACTTTAGAAAGCATCGAGACGTCATTAAGACTGTCGAGGCGAATAACCGATATAGTTCAAATTAGTTATCCGCTTCGGATCTGTGTTATAAATATTAGCAATATAGCTATCTGTGTATTGTAAGTATAAGTGTGTTGAAGGTACTCTGTGTTCTTATGTATCTGCCTTTTAAGTATCTGTCTTCTAAGTATCCGTATTCTCAGTAACTTTGTGATACATATCTGTGTTGTAAGTATTTGTGTTCTAAGGATCTATGTCCTAAGTATCTGTGGCCTAAGTATCTGTGTTTTAAGTATCTGTGTCATAAGTATCTGTAGACTAAGTATCTATGTCCTAATTATCTGTGGCCTAAGTATCTGGGTTCTAAGTATCTCTATCCTAAGTATCTGTGACCCCTTCTATAATAACGTGATATTCCTATTGTTAGAGCATTGCTTTTGTGAGTGCTGTAATCACTAATCACTGAGTGCTTTTGTGAGTGCTCACTCACTAATCACTCACTTTTGTGAGTGATTAGTGTAGGTGGGTTCATTATAGTAGGATAATGAGGCCTAATTAAGCCAATACATGAACGCGCGTCCTTCTAGCTCCCAGACCTGGAACAACAAGGGACTCTCACTTTTATAAAAAAAAATCTTAATTATCCTTTCGTGGTCTAATTAGTGGGTTTATTAGTAGAGAGCTGCGAGGCGTTGGAGGCTCTTCATTCGAACTTGTGTTTTTGATCACCCTGTGGCTAATATCTTAGACCTATACTGTTCAAATTTTAAAATGCATTAGGGGCAATATATATATTATTGCAATATATTGGATTAAAATGCAATATATATTATAAATCGTTAATGACACATTACAGCATTGTCAGAAAATGTCTTCTATCAAGAATAAATTGCGTAAGAAAGTATTATTCCAAAAAATCCTCAATTACGTTTATATGGTGTGTTTATCCGTATAATTAACATACAAGAAATACATTTTCAGCAGGAAAAATATGCTTCCTCGGTGTATCCAAAAATAAAAATAAAAACACATTTACATGAGTATTGTAAATAAAAATTACGTAGTTGAATGAGCCAGATATTTCAGAAAGAGACTTGAATTGGTATTTAATGAGCATATCAGACAAATCGCGCGAATCCCTCATACCACGTATACTACACATACCATATATACCACACCAAGCATTCCACATGTACCCCACATACCAAATTAATGTTAAAATTAGTTAAAAAAAAAACTAGACGGGGGTGTACAGCGGTACAGTGGATCCATACATCTCCACATACCACCACGTTCTTCTGTCTATTTACACATTACTGTCCATCCCTACTTCTGTCCAGTACACACTCCACCCTGCCCCTTAGCGACACACTACCCACCCCTGTCTCCACACACCTCCCGTCCCCATCTACACACACATCACCCTCCTCTATGGTGTGTGTGTGTGTGTGTGTGTGTGTGTGTGTGTGTGTGTGTGTGTGTGTGTGTGTGTGTGTGTGTGTGTGTGTGTGTGTGTGTGGCTCCCTTAAATATATAAATCTGCAGGAACGTTCCTCGCGTTTCATAGAGATAATTAACGAACCTACACATTAGAAAGAATGTTTATTTTTAGGAAATGTTGCAAATATAATTGACATCCATTTACCTTTGTGAGGGATGTTGTGATGGGCTCCATAATGGCCGTCATAGAGAGCATTCATTGTGTAATTAATTGGTGTGTTTGCTATCGTTCAAGTCTCCCACATAACGCCATCACAATGACACCTACATAACACCCACTACACTTCCTACACAATACCACCTACGCAATACCTTACCAGAAAAACCATGGCACACGACACCCGGTACTCGCCAACACATATGCAACACTTAACGGCACCACCAATGCAATAGCAACTAAACCCCAACACATACGCAACACCGACATCCCAACACTGCTCGTAATTGTTGCAAACACGCGGAATGGTTTATACCGTAGAAAGCCGATTAAAAGAAATATTGCATTAAATTTGAATGCGTTATTTAAAGTGTTTTCCACTCAAAGTCTACACTGAGTAATATACCCTCTCTGTCTCTCTCTGTCTGTATATCAATTTATCTCTTTCTGTCTCCCTGTGTTTCTTTATTTCTTTATCTTCTCTCTCCCTATTAACTATAACCTCTTCTTACTTGATGGATTGCATGTTCCGGTGACTGGGAGAGCAGTGAAATGCTACTCATATAGGACCTCCTCTAGTCAGAGAATATAGACCAGGATATATAGGCTCTAGGTGGTCCTGTGTAATCTCAAACCACTTTCCTTCCAGTGTGACTCGTTCGGCTGAGGAATCGAACCGTGATTGTAATTGTGATTGTGATTGTAAACCGTGAATGTGATTGATCCTGACCCCAGATCTTCAATAATATTTGTTTATAAGTCAATAATTTTCTTATTACGGACTCAGATTAATTATTAATCTGTCTGTGTATCTCTCTTTCTCTCTCTCCTCTCTCTCTCTCTCTCTCTCTCTCTCTCTCTCTCTCTCTCTCTCTCTCTCTCTCTCTCTCTCTCTCTCTCTCTCTCTCTCTCTCTCTCTCACTCTCTTTCTCTCTCACTCTCTCTCGAATGTTTTGTTGTACCAATGCCATATCGAATAATACGAGCTTCTGCCCCAGTAAACCCACCTAGATAACAGGATCCATTTAAATGTTCACCTGACGTACGAGCGTTGCACTGAGTTCTGACTTTTTTTTTATATAAGCTGAAGTGAAATTCCAGGCAGCTGGACATTCACGGATGACCAAATGCTGATATTATTTTGTTTCCTATAGCCGGTAAAATGCAAGATTACCTAGTTCTCGAGGGACGATTTTGACAAGCAGTCAGTAAATATAATTTTTATACAATGATTTATTTTCCCCCTTCTTAATAATTCGTCGTTTATTTCGCGCCAAAAAGTATTTATAATACATGTTTTAAGGAGCAAAATTAATGAATGAAAGGTATTACATTTTTGTGTGTTGATATATACGCCAGACTGTATGCTTATTGGTCTGTATATTTGTCAGCATATTGGGCAAAATATAGCCAAAATATAGGCAAAATATAGCAGTGGCAAACCAGGCACACAACAGACAAGTGGATGAGGGACATTACACTCGCATGGATTACCGCTCGTGCAAGCTTTAAAAGTAAACAGGTGATACATATGCTTGTTTGATTCCCGTCAACTAAAGTAACACTCAACGCTGAACGAAGCCAAACAGTGGGGAAAAGGACGAGTGAAGGGGAGGGAGGGGGAGAGGGCTGGTGGAGGTAGATTGGTTGTGATTGGCTGGTGTGGGGGAGGGGCTGAGTGGAAAGGAAGATTGATTGGGAATGTGGTGTGGTTGGGGGGGGGGTGTTAGAGCAGGGTATGGATGGGGGGGAATTGATTGTGACTCGGGGGTGGTGGTGTGAGCAGAGGCAAATTGGCTGACAATATGGTGTGTGTGAATTGGGATGAGGTTAGGTGTGTACGTGGAGGGGAATAGTTAACAGGGAGAGTAAATAGGAAAAGTCAAGTGCAAAGCAATTTATGGTATGCATCTCCTGCTTACCTTAACTGGTTGCGTCTGTTATTTAAATAATAAGAAAAGACGGGCGTTTGTTTGCTGAAATGTCGAGCGTAAGCTCCTCAACCCCACGTTTTTAATAATCGGTCGTGCAAAGCAAATTCTATCGACTTTCATGTTTCTAAATATATTAACATAAATTAGCAATTTATTTACCTAGTTGTGGTTGCGGGAGTTGAGCTCTGCTCTTTCGGTCCGCCTCTCAACTGTCAATCATCTGTTACTAACTACTATTATTTTCCCCACACTACACACACTCCAGGAAGCAGCCCGTGACAGCTGACTAACTCCCAGGTACCTATTTACTGTTAGGTAACAGGGGGCATCAGGGTGAAAGAAACTCTGTTCATTGTTTCTCGCCGACGCCCGGAATCGAACCCGGGACCACAGGACCACGCGTTCAGCGTGCTGTCCGCTCAGCCACCGGCCTCTGTAGATTGTGCTGGGTTTGTTTCACTTTCCTCTCTGTCTAACTCATTCATGTTTCTTCTGTCATTGCAATGAAGAGGTTCTATTTATCCTAGCTAAGATTCATTTATATCTCCATCGCGGGTTCGATTCCCGCACGAGGCAGAAACAAAATGGGCAAAGTTTCTTTCACCCTGAATGCCCCTGTTACCTAGCAGTAAATAGGTACCTGGGAGTTAGTCAGCTGTCACGGGCTGCTTCCTGGGGGTGGAGGCCTGGTCGAGGACCGGGCCGCGGGGACACTAAAGCCCCGAAATCATCTCAAGATAACCTCAAGATAACCCATTGCATTTCTCTTGCTCTTACGCTTCCACTAATATATAAGTCTATTCTCGCAATATTAATCCTAATTATTCATGTTCTTAACTATGCAACCTCCATGGCTTCTTGCCCCAAAGGCTGTGAGATCTGATTCTCAGCCTAGAAAGATCTGAGAGATCTGATTCTCAGTCTAGAAATCAAATCTTAAGGATGAGTTTCGTGCTGTTGGCAAAGTTATGAAGGCTTCATTAGCTATGTTCTTTGATGTCATCTGGACGTTCGTTAATTCTTCATGTGCTACTGAT